CATGGCTTCGTAAGAGTGCATTTTTTGGCGAAGAGGTTTCAGCTCGGCCTTAAGGTTGGTGACGGTCCCCTCCAGCTCGTCAACCTTCTTTTGGGCCGCCTCTAACTGAGCCCGAACAGCGGCGGTAGCCTGCGCCTGATAATAAAGAAGATCAATGGTCAGTACTTCATTTTGGGCAATTTGAAACATTGCCTTATCACAGCTGGAGGCGGCCATAGCCTTTGCGGCCTTTACCTCTTTGTTTTTCCGATCAATCGGCTTGCGAAGGCTGTTGACTCGGAGCAGGGCCTAAGTACAAAGAAAAACAGGCGTCAGTTTCCAAACAGAAAAGTTAACAGGCGTCCTGGAACTCAAAAGCTCAAAAAAATGCTAAGTATACCTCAGCAAGGACCCCTGAAATCCCATCAAGGTCAAGGGTGCCGGCACCCCTGACCGCCTCCCTGTCAGATGGAGGAACTACTTTAACCATAGACTTGGCTACCTCAACCAAGTCAAGCCCCTGGGGGCCGGCTGCATTAAGTGAAAGGAAAAAACAAGTTAGACCTAGTCAAGAAAGAAGCAAGGGTGAGTTTTTACAAGTGAGTGTCCATACATCTAGGCGGCCCCGCCTGGGTTTTAGAAGAAGTGGCCGGCTGCTTCTCAGTCGCCACTGTTTTCCTGGAAGACCCAGGAGAGCTTGCAACAGTCGTCCTCCGGGCCTTGGGGTCCGGCTGTTGCGAGGAAGAAGCCCTTGGAGTGCCAGACTGAAAACAAAAAGAGTTAGTATATGCATAAGACAACTAAAAGAGGAAGTTTTCGAAGCTTACCAAGGGTGCCTCCTTGTTGGGGGAGTCGGCATACGACTGCTTCATGAGCGAGGCCCGCAACATGGCCGCCGCAGTCTTGGATGTTGTTATTTTACTCATGGCGTCAGCTGCAAGAAATAAACAGCAAAGTTAGTAAAAGTCCCAAGTAAACAAGGCGTGAAAAAACAGAGTATTTGTCAGGCCGGCTACCTCTAGAGCACCGACTGCCGAGGCCACAGGCGGCCAAAAAGTACTCGTCATAGAGCCACTTGAAGCTCGGGACGCAGTTTAGGGGTACTTGCTCTCGTACCCCTGAAGTAGAGTTCACCCTAGTCTCTACTTTGAAGAGTCCTTTGTCTAGGATCTCTCTTTTAGCCTTTGGGGGAACAGGCGGCATGCTGCGGCCGCCTGCGAGAAGAGGCGGATCCCTATTCCACTTGTTAAAACGTTTGTTCAGTTCCGTGTCTGAACCCTCAATGATAAGGAAGGTGTTCCGCCAATCCTTCCATTTGTTCGCCTTACCTCTCGTCATGAGGTAACCCCTATGGCTTGTTAATTGGTACCAGCCGGTACCTCCCGACTTAGGGGTCCGGCTGAGATAGTTCATGTGGGCGAAAGCCTCAAAGCTTGGCTCCACCCCGTACATTTCGCACCCGGCCACATAGCCGAGTACGTTTACCCAAGAGTTGGGGGCTAACTGCCATAACCCCAGATCATACCCATCTAAAATCCGCTGAACAGCCGGATGTAATGGGAAGCGCAGTCCAGCTTTGATGGCCGCCACATAGCAGCCAAAGCAGCCGTCACCATAGCTGCTACCAGCCGGCCAGACGACAGTGTCTTCTGGATCCGGCACAAACAGTAAAAATTCCGGGCCCATTTTGTGGTTAGCAATAAAGCTCGCCACGTTGTCTTGCATGGTTGCGATCCGGCCCCGGGGTACCATGCAGTAGTAGGGGGCGTTTTCCTCTCTGTAAGAGGCGGACGGCTCCGCCCAATTGTCCCCCTTCTCAACTGCATGAGAAAGTCTCGCCTCTTGTAGGCGGCTATGTCTTTCTTCTAAGCCAGGAGAACTATGGCCAGAAGAGCTGGACTCGGACTCGTCCTCTGACGAGTCCGAAGAGGACGACTCCTCCCCTCTCCCAGAGGGGCCCGCCTCCTCTCCCTTAGAAGGAGCAGGAGGAAAATTAGGCATGTCAACGGTAAGATGGGAAGGAACCACCTTGGCCCCTCTCTCAGAACTGTCGGCTTGGCAGTCGCCTCGTTTCAACTCTACATCTGGCGCCTGATCAGATGTTTCACTAAGGAGTACCCTTTGGGAGGTGCCGTCTGAGTTTGATATCATAGCAGTCTGTTTCGTTCTGGCCATCACGTTCTGCATAGACACAGATACAGTCGGACTTTGTATAAAGGGCAAAGATGGGTCCAGAAAAGGGCAGGCGGCACTCCTAGTCCTAGATTCAGCCGTCCCCGGTGACCGGCTGATCACTAACTTAGGTCGTGTCGTGTGCTTCCATGGTGCCATTTCAAAAAATAAAAATAAAATTAAGGGTAAGAGAACTGAGTTACCTGAACGAGTGACGGTTGATGAAATCCTGGAAGTCCGGTGCAGTCGGCTTGTCAGAACAGGCGGTAGGCAGAAAAGGTCCGAAATGTCAGAGCAAGTTCAGGGGTCCGAATGTTCTCGCAAAGCTCTCAAATGTGAAAATGACCGAAGTCAGCACTTCCTTTTATAGGCAAAGTGAGAAGGCGAAGGGTCGCTTCCAAATTCAAAATTTGGGCGGGAAAATCTCTCGGCCGTTTGCAAGGTGACACCTGTAGCAGGCCGTCGCCTGTCACCGTGCGACACCTGTCACAGGCGACACGTGACCAGTCACGTGCCACCTGTGAGGGGCAAATGATTAGGGGATTTTTATCCACCAATCACCGTCTGACAAGTGGACCAACCAGGTTCCGCCACGTGTCCTTCACGAAGGCCAACAGGAGCCTGCCACGTGTCAATCACAGATACGTCCTCTACGGACCAATTTAGACACGCCACGTGTCCGCCCATGCCAAATGGGAAAACCGGCCATCAAGGCCCAATCCAGTCTAGAGGCCCGATCAGCTCTAGGTTTACCTTAAACCTAGAGAGTGGCACGCTTCTCAAGGCTATAAATACTTAATTAATCCTCATTAGTTAGGTAATCGAAGAATCAAGAAATCAAGCAGAGAAGAACAGAGTTATTACGGAACACCAACAACCGGCTAATCTCGCTAACGACGCAGATTACCAACACTAAGCACTCTCACCTAGAGAGATCTTATTACTTTAATTTCCGTATTAATTACTCCTTAATCAGGTACTAACTTGACCGTTGGAGGCGGAGCTCTCAGGAGTCTCCGTTATTTTGCAGGTACAGACGTCCGGTTCCAGTCTCGGAATTGTAACTCTCCCGCAGGACATCAGAAAACCCCGAAACAATAACTACTAGTGGGCAACCTGTTCTTCACCCTTTCGGGTTTCATTTCCCTTCTTAATTTAATGTACATTTTAATAGATTGAATTGCCCCATCACATTGCACACAAGTATTGCACAAATCAATTTAATCCCAAGTGACAGTATTTCAATTTCAATATTATTAGAACATAGTCATTTAACATGACATACTAGTTACAACTCGTTTCCCAATAGGCCTTGGAGACCATCAATCACATATAATCAATCGACCAATTTCGAAGAATAAAAAAAATACTTATACGATACCAATTAATCAAATTTTCGAAAATATTTATAGTAGTACACAATTATAGAAAACTAGTATATAATTTGATTCCATAATATCACACAGTAACCACTCATCACATATAATTACACAAGCACATAGTTGGCACACAATATCTCAAAACAATTTCCTAACGGGATTCTAAAGATGATGGACATTGAAAATTACCTTGAGTTGCGCGTGAATCTCAAGGTAAGTAACCTCCAAAACGTTCACCTAGTAGCCTCCGTCTACAATTAAACAAATAAATGGCCTACGTCAGATAATTATACCACTAATAGAAAAAAAAAAAATTGGGCATAAGATCAATATAGTACCGCCCATAATCAAATCACCCCAAAATTAACATCCAATTGAATAATAGAATGATGACCATTTAACTTCGGTAAACATAACTCAAAGGTAAATTTTTTTTTTGTTTTTTTTTTAAAATAAAATAAAAATAAAACAACTAATGATTTACTAAGAATCCAAAATAAGATGGAAAAGTGACGAGTTGCAGTGTTCATGCTTTCCCCCTTTTTTTATTAAAAAAAAACGAATAACGTGATTAATTAAGAAACCAAAACTAGAAAAACAGAGGTGATGAGTTTATGAAGTACTGAGATCCGAACTCGATGTTTCGATTATCAGATACTTTTATTTCCTTTTCTTTAAGGCTTCCATTTAAGAAGAAAATAATTAAAAAGAGTATATATATATATATATATATATATATATATATATATATATATATATATATATATGAAGCAGTTCAAGGTAAAAGTTGAAGGAGTGATCATAGCTTACCAAGAATGAAGATGTAGAAGGATTTGGTATTTTTTTTTAAGGGATTGAAAACAACAGTGGATATATTTATGAATCAATCTTGATGGTAGGTATCAGTCGAGAAGGTTTGTGGGATAGGATTAAAATTTGAAATTAAAACTGATTTTGTTACTAGCCTTTATCCGAAAAACCATTTATGCCATTTTTTTAATTTTTTATATTTTTTTTAAATAAATCCGAAAATAATAATAATAATTATTATTTTTTTTACTATAATATTTAAATTTGACAATACTATAATATTTAAATTTGAAAATAATTATAAATTTAAAAGTTTATTCTAGAAAAATCGTTGATTAAATATACTCAAAGATTTGGGTTATTACACCTGTAACCATATCAAGTACTTTGTCTTATAATGCATTCACTAGTCATAATCACAATAGTAGTCATGCATGTACCATGTCAGTATTGCCTTTTTTTTTCATTGACTAGTCATTCATAGTATAATGTTAATGCATTGAAAGGTCATTCAGTAGTCATGCATGCTCCATTTCAGTACTTTAATTTGTTATAATGCATTGAATTGTCATTCATATTTCAGATTCATTGCTATTTATACTTAATACACGATCTATCCACAACCTGCACCAAAAAAATTCAAGATTTCAAACAAATACAATGTCTTCCATTAGCTCAACCTCTAGCTCATCTGATTCAGATCAATATGCACAATTTGATGAACTAGTTGACGAACTTTTCACAAATCACTTACCAACTATGTTGCTTTCCCAACAACAAGCCCAACCCGTAAATGAAAATGAATGTGACTCGGAACTTCCTAGAGGGGATACAAATAGGAGAGATAGGGAACAGGGTCATGAAAGATTGTTTAATGATTACTTTGCTAATAATTCAGTGTATAACAACATTCAATGTCGGCGTAAATTTCGAATGCAAAGGCCTTTATTTTGTCGCATCATGAACAAAGTGGTTGACGGTGATCAATTCTTCCAGCGCCGTAGGAATGCAGCTGGAAGGCTTGGGTTATCACCACTGCAAAAATGCACCGCCGCGATAAGAATGTTGGCATACGGGTTAGCCTCGGATGCGGTGGATGAGTATGTACGCATTGGACAAACAACCTCTCGGAATGCATTGCAACGTTTTTGTCAAGGGTTATTACACATTTTGAAGCTCAGTATCTAAGAAGTCCCACAGATGACGATTTAAGGCGAATCTTGCATCAAAATGAAATGCGTGGTTTTCCCAGCATGATAGGTAGCATTGACTGCATGCATTGGGAATGGAAGAATTGTCCTACGGCATGGAAAGCGCAATATGCAGGCCGGAGTAAGAATGCGACCCTAATTCTAGAAGCCTTAGCAGATCAAGATTTATGGATTTGGCATGCATTTTTTGGAATCCTCGGATCTTGTAATGATCTTAATGTCCTATATCGGTCCTCGGTATTTGATGATTTTCTGCATGGCCGAGCACCTCCAATACATTTTTCAGTGAACGGACATGAGTACGCCATGAGATATTACTTGGCAAACGATATTTACCCAAAATGGGCTACTTTCATTCAAGGAATAACACATCCTCAAATTCAGAAGGACAAATTATTTGCTGAAAAACAAGCCGCGGCACGGAAGGACGTTGAACGAGCTTTTGGGGTTTTACTGCAATACTACGACAACCCTCACTTGCGTTTGACGAAGACATTTTGTGTGACATAATGAAAGCTTTTATCATTAAGCACAACATGATTGTCAAGGACGAACGCCACAACTACATTCGGGCTGAAGTTTTGAGAAGGTACTACAAAGAAGATCAACCACAATTAACAAGACCAAGTACAAGTGCTATAGTGAACAACAACGAGTCGTTTGAATACAAAGTTGGCCGACCGCCTAACCTTGATTTCGACACGTATGTTCAAAGAAGAATTTTCCTACGTGATAGGAAAACTCATTTTTCTCTAAAAAAACGGATTTAGTTGAACACATTTGGCAAAAATATGGTTTTAGCGATGTGTAAACAATTAAAATGTCGTTAATTATTTTAGTTTGTGAAATAATTAATCGAAGTCGTACCTTTTTAATTTAATGTATGTAGTCATTAAAATTTAATGTAGTCGTAATATATTTTTCTTTGTAATGTTAGTTATCAAACTTCTAAAAATAAATGAGTTTTTAATCAATTGGTTGATTGAGTGTGTAAATTCTTAATTAAACTAATAATTACTGTCAAATAATTAATAAAAAAAATAATTAATTATAATTAGATTTATTTGTTTCATAATTGTTATTTTATAAAAGTATAAATTGTAATAAAAACATAAATTAATAAAATATGATGATTTGTAGGAGAGAGAAAATGTTAGTGGGGTATTGATAAAAGTAAGAGAGAAAAAGTGGTGAGGATTTTTTTTTTTTTTGATCATTGATGGGATAAAATTTCCTCTTCAAATTTTCTCATGAGGAAAAGGAGGATTTTAGAGAGAGAAAGTGGGTAGAGAAAATGAGGAAAAACATTTTTTCCTCATTGTTGAGAATGCTCTTATAGGACAGAAGGTGTAGTAATAAAGTAAAAAATTCCATAATACCCAAATGCAGAAATACAAAGTTAATGGAACCAACTCACTAAATTGGTCAAAGCATCTCATTTTTGGCCAATATTTTATTTGTCAAATACTCTTAAGCTGTATAAGTTTTAGTTTTTAAGCGTCTCTCTAATTTTATCCTTATCATTAAATTAAAGAATAAAAGCATTGGATAAGGGTGAGAGGTTAATCTATGTTTGGGTAGAGATTAGGATAAGGATTAAGAATTGGGAAATTACCATTGAAGATTGCTTAACATGGTTTGGAATAATGATGGAATAGTATAGAGATAAATAAAAAATGGAAATTTGGGGGCTAGCCCCTCGTGTGCACCAAAAAAAAAAAAGAAAAAAAAAATGGAAATTGAAGTTAGAAACCCCAAGAAAGAGAGAGGAGGTTGATGGAGTTGTTGGTAAATACTTGTAATAAATAAAAATTCTGATAGAGCTGCATCCACATCATCATCATCATCATCCCTCCACAAATATGAGTATAGTAGTGTTGAGTAATGGTGAATAGAATTGTGATCAGAGATGTTGCTGAGAAAGGTGTGGGAATCAATAGTGCCTGGTAATAGCAGTAGCAGCAATCGAAATCCAGCAACAAGAGTAACAACAGGCATAGGCAGCTTGGATGTTTTACCGGAAGACGTGCTCGGAATAATCCTGAGAAAATTAGGGCCAGAAGACGCCGGCAAGCTTTGTGTGGTTTGCAGAAGCTGGAGACGAATTGTGATTTCTGACAATCGTCTTTGGATAAATATCTTCCAAACAAACCCTAATAATTTATGGGATTTGGACTCCATTTTCTTCTCTGAAATTCAATTGCCACGCCAGTTGTCAGTCTCAGTCTCTCTGATGCATCTTTATGGGCAGCGGGCTAAAGTGCCCGGTGCTGTTATTGTTGATGGTATAGTTAACTACAGTCACCCTCTTCCTTTCTGCTCACAAAATCAATTTATGAACAATCTCCGATTTCAGGTGGCTCTGGCTACTGCAAGTTCGGTTGGAGCAAGCATCCGCGTCCATCTGGGAGATCTGCCACCTTCTTGGTCATCATCCATCCTCCCCCTTCTCTCTCTCTCTCTTTTTTATTGCTTAACTAATTTCCATTTCTTTGCAGGAATTTGGTAACATCGAAGCCCCAATGTACTCTCGGCTTCGTCATTTTTATGCCACCATTTACAGCAGGTTCTTCTCTTCTTTCACCACCTGTTTTTGCACATACACTATCTCAGAATCTCCCACTGCACAATTTCCCCTGTCTTTATTCTTTTCATAATTTGCAGTTTTATGACAACTACTATTTTATGCTAGGCCCAGCTCAAATGCTTACATAATAGGATGGCCTTTTTTTCATTTTTTTTTTCTTTGTTACATAACAGGATGCAAGTAAAATCTACCGCTCAACCAATTGTTGTTTCTATCCCTATCTGTCATTATGATGGTAATTCATTTCATTTCTTGTTCACTCAGTTCTTGTCTGCTAAGTTTCAGAATGTGTTTTCCTCCTTTAGATAAATGAATCTGCTTGTGGTAGCACAAATAACAAACAATGTTAGACATTACATCGGTTCCTTTAAAGCTGTAATGATATTCTCCAGAGCTTTGAATGAGATAGCTTTTGTAGAATTACACGACTAAAATACTTAATTGGTACATAAAGGTAAAAGGGTTTATACAAAGAGTCTTTTTAGTCTATAAGAATAATGATTATGGCAAATATAAAAATTAAAAAAAAAACTAAATTCATTAATTCCTATTAACCTTTCTGACTGTATTTTCCTGCCATATGCAGACACAGAATCTGCTAAAGCATCAAGAAGGCAACTTAAAGGAGCAATATATTCAGCACTTTTTGATATGAATGTGCCTTCTGTTTGTGCAATAAATCAGGTAAGCTCTTTTTTTTCTTTTTTTTTTTTTAAATTTCATTATTCCTTATTGCTACTTTATAGGCAGAATTCTTAGCAGATCATGCAAATATGTTTGCTGATGAATGGGATCACTAACACTAACACAATACACATTTGAGAGGAAATTTTCATGGTTGCAAAGACTTCATGGTAATATGGTCTTATCCACATATACCTTGTTTCCTTCGTACCAAATTCCAGAATCAGCTTACAAGGATCTATTCTTCCTTAGATATAACATTATACCTCTTGACAGGGGCGAACGGAAAATAGAAAATGAAATACGAAGAACAGGAAATCAATGGGTTCCTTACACTAGGAATTATAAATCCTCTCATATGGCTTCTTCTTTGTGTATATGGATGTGTATGCATGTAGGGTATTATGCATTAATGCATGCTGGGAGGGGGGGGGGGGGGGGGGGGGGGGGGGGGGGGGGGGGGGGGGGAGGGGGGGGGGAGGGGGTTATTATGCATTGTATTCACTGCTATATGTTTGTCTTCTTTTTATTCCTATACCTGTTTATGGAATTATCTAGGCACTTGTCATTTCATCTTAGAAAGTACTCTTTATTATGACTTATGAGTGTACAAAATGATTATATTTTCTTATTTATGCAGGCTACTCTAGCATTATATGCTGCAAGGAGAACTTCAGGAATTGTGGTTAACATTGGTTTCCATCAAACATCAGTTGCGCCAAGTATAATATGCTGTCTTCTAATGTTGCATCATGCCTGTGCTTTTCCTCACTGTAATCTGGTCTATATGTGCTGTTTATACTGTACCTTTTTGTTTGAGTATTATGGGATTGGACTGGCTTTCAAAATTTAGTGTAACTCCCTAGCTATTCTCACTGGACATAGGCTATTACAAATGTACACCCTCCTTAGAACTCTTTGAATTTTTTTTTTTTTTTTTTTGAAGAATTAAGATATCTTAATACTGCTTTTGTCATCGAGTTGTGCAGTCTTCTAGTGCATAGGTTTAAGAAAAGGAACACATAGTGATGTACATCTTTTGAGCTCTTCTAGCCAAGCACCAAACGTAACATGACCTGCACTTAAGAACCTTAAACTCCTAAAGTCATGATTATGGTTTAATATCTGGCTGACTTGTATGTCCCCTTGGCTTGACCTTGAGCACCATGTGTCATGTGATCAGCTTGCTGTAAAAAATTGACAATTGTGATCGCCCAGCCTACTCTCATTATTGTCTTGCACTAATGACCAGTGACATGCACCTAAGGAATATAAAATCACAAGCATCCAAACTCTATACATATGACATAATCCTGGTGTTCTAAAATTTGAGTTCTTATGTCTTGGTAGCCCAGATATCCGTAAAAATACCTATACATGAGCTCTTAAAACTTTTTTTTTTTTCTTTTCATTTTTTATGCAAGTCCATGTAACTTGGTTTTTTACACATATTTTGACTCCCCAAACTCGGTCTGCATGCATTATTCATCTCTATCCAATGAAAAAGAAGCAATTCACCGGGTGGCAATTCATGTTCAATTCCAATTTGGAAAGACAATAGAGGATAGCAGTTCTACAACTGCCCCAGGTGAAATGGAGGAGTCCCTTTTATAGGGCTATAACTTTTGCTCTCGAGGATATTTTAGGACTATTGAGATTGCGAGACAAATTTTGAAAGTGCTGTTGCCTGGGATCTCTTAATGGCCTATGGGACATAAGTGATATGAAGCCATTTCTATTGCATTGTAGGGGTATGTTTGGTCGGAGGAGATTCTTGGGTTGCATGATTAGTGGTGCTAGGTTTGGGCCATTTGGCTACTGTTCCAAAGGTGTTCAGATTTCACACAGGATAAGTAGTGAATGGTGAACAAGTTTTTAGGGGCAATGTGTTTGTGTCATGAGGAACTTAGAGTCCAGACATTATCTTTTTATACCTTCTGTGTTCAGCCTTGGGAGCTTATCTTAGGTGTACTTTTAGCTATATGTATTTAGGGTTGGGATCCAATGAGAAGTTTCTTAAATGAAAAGTATGAGAGCATTAATGTGCATATATTATTTTCTAAATGTGCAAATATGAATTCGACCTGAAACGAAAATTTATGCACATTCGTTAAGAAAAATAGTCATGTGGGTTCTTATTTTTACTCTTATATAATTATATAGATATTTAACATATAAACTATGTTTTAAAATGCGTAATTTCATCCTTGTAGCAATATTACTAGAATGCGAAAGTATATTGCTACTGAATTTTGACAAGTCAGCATTCAACATATTTTCTTATTGCTCGCCATCCAAATTTAGTTTTTCCTTTTATGTTGAATATGTAGTTTGTAATGGTGGTACAATAATGGACTCGGTCCTCCAAAGTGTCATAATAATGTCATGTAAACAATTTCATAATCCTGATTGAAATCTACCAGGGATCATATTATCTTATTGCTACAAGATTTTTATGCTATATCCTGATCTTTCATTCAATTATTTCTCTCTTGAATCCAGTTTTTGTCGATTTATTAATTTATTGGGTTTTTTGTGAGAAACTACCTAATAAAACCTAAATTTTATAAGAAACTACCTAATAAAAAAAATGTTGCAAGAAACTACCTAATAAAAGGTAAAATGTTGTAAGATACTACCTTTGACCGAATTCCTACCGTTGGCCTAATTTTATGGCGTTGACCCACCTCAAAACACCCTCAAAACTACCACGGGGGTTGGTTTTCAAGGTGGTAGGGTTATTTTCGGGATGGTCGAAGGATATTCCAAGTTGGTGAAGGTAGTTTCGTGATTCGGGATTTTGGTTTTTGGGGTTAGCTAGAGGTGGTGGTTTCGGGGTTGGAGGTTGGTTTCGGCATGATGGAAGTAATTTCAAGCAAGTTGTGTTGGTTTTGGGGATGAAAGTGGTGGTTTCGGGGGTGTTTTGAGGTGGGTCAATGGTGGAAATCTGATAGAGGTAGTTATTTACAATATTTTACCGTTAAATGGGTAGTTTCTTACAATATTTTACCTTTTATTAGGTAGTTTCTTACAACTTTTTTTGATAGGTAGTTTCTCACAAAATTTGGATTTTATTAGGTAGTTTCTGACAAAAAGTCCTAATTTATTAAGCTACTCTATAAAACTTGATTGCTTGATCATCTCTGCTAATGCAATGTTCCATGATCTTTTTCTTTTACAGTTCTTCATGGAAAAATAATGCGCAAAGTGGGAGTTGAAGTTGTTGGCATGGGGGCATTAAAGCTTACGGGATTTCTTAGAGAGCAGATGCAGCAGCAGAACATCTATTTCGAGTCTTTGTACACTGTTCGTGAACTTAAGGAGGTAATGTTTATAGTATGAAGTTTCATAATTTGTTCTTCCCATCCCACTTATTTCTAGAAATTGCAAGTCTCTTTAGGAGCAAAGAATCTCTCCATAGGCCATGACAACATGGGAATTAAAGGTCTAAATGACGAAGTATGTCTAAATGCTTCACTGAAGGATAAAAGTAATTTCGGGTAAATTCAGGAATCTTTTAATTAGATGTGTGTTCACGCTGAATAGTGATGGTAGAAAAATGGTCGTGTTTTATGGAGCTCCACTGATAAAAATCTGTAGCTCTTTTTGCTCTGGATTTTTTTTACGTTTGTCTCGCTTGTAGCATGTTGATTAGTTAATAGTTTGCTCTCCATAAAAGTTGGGGAGGGGGGGAGGGTGGTGAGGTGGTGAGGAGACTCTTTGCTCAAACTTCTCCATGGATCTTATGCTCCTCCATGTATGTGTCACATATTACTATATGAATGTCTGTTTCTTATCCTGGAATATGATTTTGTTATCCCCTCACTGGTTACTGTCTTACTGAAGCATTATTATTCTTTTAGAGTCGTCTATACTGCAAGAGATCTTTGGTGATCTCATGATAGTTGTCTCTTACAGAATCTTTGTTATGTGGCTCTTGATTATGAAGCTGAACTTTCTAAAGATACACTACGGTCTTATAAAGTACCAAGAGAGGGTGTTTTTGCACTTTCTAAAGAGCGCTTTCAAACAGGAGAGATCTTATTCCAACCACGTCTTGCTGGAGTGTAAGTGTTTCTTCACCATCATTGCTTCAAAAAGTGATAGTGTAATATTAATTGCAGATGGATGCGGGAGCTATCCTTTTTTGATTGATTTGTCAACAAAAGGGTTGCAAGACATTGCACATTTGTAGTCTTGCTCTATTGTTTGTTATACAATAAGCATACATGAAGTGCGTCCCAATATAGCATTTGAAGCATGATGTGTAGGCAGATTGACTCACCAAGTTCTTGTTAGAATAGTATCCACACAAGGGCAGCAATTTGCCATCATCAAAGCAAATCAATTTACATGGCCCTTTTCAGCTGCAGATGCATCTAGTCCAGTACATTATCACTTCGATAAATTATTGACAAAACTCATTCTGAATCAGGCACTTATTATGAGATATATGCACACTAAATAATTACAAGGTTTTTTTTTTTTTTTTTTTTTTTTTTGGAAGACCAAAATTAAGATGTCACCAACCTACAACTCTCATTTATCTAATCCATACTTATGTTTCAACAATTCGAAACATAAATTCATTTACACATTAAATTCATTCACATAAAAATTGACCTTTATATGTGGATAACTGGATATTCCTACGAGGCAATACAATTTTGAGAACTGTACTGTGCCTGGCTGTTAAAATTCACAATCACATAGAAAATCCAAGGTGCCCATGACTCATGAGTGCCTCACCTTGAGAAGTGGATCATCCAAGGCACATTATCATGTCGTACTCCCATTATCCCATTCAACCAAGGTTTGAAACCATGGGATAAATTGAAATACATTTAGCCTTCTATCTATTTAGAAATGTGCTTTAAATATGCTTTGATGATAGTTTGACACTAGGCAAGTTGAACCAATCATGGGTTCAACTATCGGCTTAAGCTTTTAGTTGATTTGGTCCTCTAACATGGCATCAAGAGCTAGTGTGACAAAAAGGTCATAGGTTCAAATCTTATCCACCCCTTCTTTCTAGTGAAATATATAACGCCGGGTATGGTGAGACCCATGCTACATTCACACTTCTAGCCCAATGGGCTGTCATTTCGAGAGTATATAAATCAAGCATAGGCTTTAACTATGAGCTTAAGCTTATATATATTCTATTGATTATATATGTTCATTGTGCATTTTTACTTGCCCTTCCTGCTCAAGATGGTCCTAAATTTCATTTTATTTGATTGTCCTTCTCATCTGCCATTTTTTCCTGCTTTATAATACTGCTTTGAGCTATGTTGCAGACGTGCAATGGGACTGCACCAGGCAGTTGCACTCTGTATGGAACATTGCCATGCTGCAGAACTGATGGGTGATGACAATTGGTTCAAGACAGTGGTGTTATGTGGTGGAACTGCATGCTTACCTGGATTAGCTGGTTTGAGTTTTCTTTACTGTCAATTGTGCGTCTCTGTAAATGCATATATATACTTGGTTTGTCTAACTATAACTTGTTTATTTCAGAAAGGCTAGAGAAAGAATTGCATGAGCTTCTTCCTCTGTACTTAACAACTGGAATTAGTGTAATTCCTCCTCCTCATGGCGTTGATTCTGCCTGGCATGGTGCCAGGCTGATAAGCAATGTAAGTTACCATTGTATTTTGACACATTCCAGAATTTTATTCTTATTGAATGTTTTCTTTTTTTTTTTTTCTTTTTCCCTCTCCTGTTAAGACTGACCTGTAGTACTAGTATTAAAATTAAACCTGAGCGCTCCAGATCTCATATATTCTTATAACAGATGGACCCCCTTTTTTTTTTGGTAGTTGAGCACCTTCCCAGGAGCATGGTGCATGACTAAAAAGCAATTGAAGCATAAGTATCGAAGGAATCGTTTAGGTTCATGATGATGGCATGATAAATTGTTGGGAAGTTACAATGTCTTATTTTTTTCTTGAGTATGACAGTCTGTAATCGTTCACAGCAACCAGGCTGAACATACCGAAAGTTACAGGGTTCATTGATCTCAACTTGTTAAGTGGTCTGAATTTGAACATACCGAAGTGCTTGCTCCATACTAATGTGTATAAGTGTATATAATATAAGTGGTTGTATTATGTAAGAAGATTGGCTTTTGTATGTTTATCTGGATGAATTGGATATGTATAGCAAGAGTAAGATAAAGAAATTTACAGAACATAAATGAACCAGTGGTTTACATGTGTACATGATTACAGACAATTGCAAATAGCCAAACACTGCATGTTTTTCAATAACTCAACACAAAAGTAAAGTCGAGAAATTTGAAGCAAAAGTTGAAAAAATCAAGAAATGAATAAGCGGTACGAAAATAAAAGAGAGAGCAAATAGATCCAGTGGTGAAATATGGTTGGGATAGCGGCAGCAGAGGGAGCGGGAGCATCATGATGAGGGGATGACTGAGATTGAGTGCACTCGAGACCTCGCTTGGTATCACGGCACTCATTGGCAAAAAGGCCAGGAGGGTAGTGGCCGTAGAGGTTGATGTAGCTGAACAAGGTAGTGGCGCAGTTATTGGTTTGGTCGTTGAGTTGATCAGCATAAGGGCATGCGAAATCCTTGAAAGCTTCACAGCAGATGTTGGGTGGATATTTGGGGCCTTTACATCTGCTGGTTATGATTGTGTAGTTCAAGATTTCAAAATTGACTGGGCAACCTGCATCAAAGGGTTTTCGTACTCCATTATCGATTTATACAAGTATATGATATCCAGAATATCATTCTAATAAATTACCAATATACCTTGCTGAGCTTGAAGAAGAGTGCGAGCTATAGAGAGGCAAGGGTGGAGTTGATCTGAAAATGTTTCTGTAAAATCAACAAGTAATTATATAGGAAGAATTACACTAATAATAATTAAAAATAGGGAAAAGGGTAGACCTGTAGCAGAGGCAGAAGCAAGCAGCAAGAGCAACAAAATGATGGGTGGAAAGAGATTGGAACTATGGACGTCAACTTCTCTCACCATTTTTTCAGCACTTTGTGTTTTTTCTCTCTTCAGCATGCTAGAAAATACTGGAAACATAAAAAGGGTGAGAGAGAATACTCAATAATCAATACTAATACTCCAACTGCTGGATTCCTTTTTAGTTCTGTATCTTGCTTCACAGCTTGGTGAACGCGTTGTCGCCTCTTTTTTAAGGAGTTATGCCACCTTACCCAAATTTCTCCACTAATCATGTATCAGTCTCCAGTCTCCGAAAGACAATTTTGGAGGTTTATAATGTCAATGGTCTTTTTCTTTAAGAATGGATCAATGGTACCCACGGACGTTTTACCAAATTGAGCTTTAAACGGAAACTATTTACGAAAATGGTTGCGTGGCAAAACTATTTACCAAACTAAGCTTCCAGCATAAAACGCTGTCTCGGACAGCGTTTTACCCCTGGTTTTTTTTTTAAAAAAAATTCAACTACAACTATTTTATATGTTCAACATAAAGCGCTGTCTCAGACAGCGCTTTATGCTTGAACATAAAGCGCTGTCTCCGACAGCGCTTTATGCTTGAACATAAAGCGCTGTCTCCGACAGCGCTTTATGCTTGAACATAAAGCGCTGTCTCAGACAGCGCTTTTCTGCTGGAAACAGCAACCAGCATCCAGGCAGAAAACAAGCTTCAGCAAACAGCTTGCATGCTGCAGTCCTCCAACAGCCACCACAACAGCCAGCTCCACAACCCTACCCCACCACCGTCGACCACCAACTCCGCCACTCCCCACCACGTACCACCACCATATTCTGGGAGTTCCGTCAACTTTAAGCACTGCAGAAAACTCGAAACAGCCCAACAACAGTCCAACCACCAAATTAACTTCAAAGCACACACGGAGTCATTCAAAAAAGATTTATTATATTAATTTCATAAGTGTTATGTACATCATTACACAAAATAACAGGGAATACAACAGATAATACTAGCCCGACTCATTTATTCGGGGTAAAGGTCCTGCCTCCTGAGTGTCGGCCCTCCGTCTGACACGTCGCCGCCTGTAATGAGTGACGGTGGTGAATGGGTCTCGGGGCGGTGGGGGAGTCAGCTGACTGGACGAGGGGTCCTCCTGGGTACCAGAGGGCGCAGTACTGTGGATGTTGTAATCCTCTGCGTGTCTGGGTGACGTAGGATCACATCCACCGCTGCTCTGGCCGAGATCGAACTGTGAGTTGCCATCATGACCGTCCCGCCGGTGGGCGAGATGAGCGTGACCATATCTCCGTAAGGTAGCGACGCCCATATCTCGCACCTGCTCGACCTGGGCTCTAGTGGGTCCGCACTCAAGGGAGACTGATAGCGCATCAACCATCGCCACCATATCCGCCGCCTGCAGTAATCATCGATCAGTCAGATCTATGGCATACAAATATGGAAATTGTTGAAAAGGAGTAGAAAAATAATAACTCACATATCCGCTAATGATGTCATATGCTGGATGGTAATGTGTGGATGGTGGTGCGTAGCTGGGGTTGATGAAGCGTCGTGTGATACGCCTGTACCACACCATGTACGGATCGTCGGGATCCATAGCCCCCTGCATTAGATCACCTCCAACGATGAACTCCAACCGTTGCTCCCATAGCTGAAGGAAACGCCAATGCTCCAGCGCCCAGCTGGTCTCCCCCTTTCCCCGACGATCAATGCCGTGAAGCTGTACACTAGTGTCACACCCCTATGGGATAGTCTGGCGTAGTCCAAACTGCCTCATGACTCGGTCGGGCAGGTGACTCTCCACAACCTCGAAACAGATCAGGGGGACCCTAGCACGCCACTCCGCCTGATGGTCTAGCAGATGTGGAGGCATGGCATCTACCAAGTCAGGTACATACGGGTCCCATGTCACCTGTAAATACACATCAACAGTAATATTATGAATATGTTAGTTCGCAACAAGTACAATGTTAAAACAAAAAAGCTAAAACTGTATTTTAAATTGTTACCTGGTCCTCGGTGAGTCGGTCTAGGGCGTCTCGGTAATACGGAAGACCCCTCGCCGCATGAGCATGTGTCAGCCTGGGTACCACCCACCTAATATCGAACAATGTTTCAGTTAACAACCCCGCGCATTAAATAAAGCCTAACTCAATGAAAGTTGTATCGAACCTGCAACCATATGCCTCATCCGGTGTAGGGAGCGGGGGAGCATCGTACGCCTGGTACTGGTCGTCCTGGTCCTGCTCCCCCCGACGGTGTATCGCAGGTCTGCCTGGTCTGCCTACATGGATATGCTCCCAAGCCCAGAACTGGCACACAGAGACACAAAACTAGCTTCAGTATGAAATATGTAAGTGCGTGGTGAAATAGTTTTTTTGGTACAGAAATAAGTGAGGTACCTGGAGGACAATCAGGGGACCTCCAATCTCGTTAGCACCTACGTGGGATGCTCTGCACAGCTGGCGATACAACGTCGCCAGACAGGCGCTACCCCAGCTGTAGCCTCGGATATGATCCCAGTCGTGGTCCAACAGCTGCATGTAAATGAGCTGGAGATGGCTCCCGCTCTTATTCCCGAACAACACGCCCGAGATGAGGAAGAACAAGTACGCCCGGGCGTATCTCTGAACCTGGGCGTCATCAGCCCCTGGTGGTAGCTCACGGAAAGTCTCACGGACCCAGCCGGTCCTCAACCCGGATCCCCTAATATCGGCGGGACCTGGCTGGACACCAAGTACCCGACCAACCAAACCGACGGGATCGACTAACGCGTGTCCTGTCACCGCAGACCCATGTACTGGAAGGCGCGTAAGAATCGCCACGTCCCGTAACGTAACGGTCGTCTCACCAACAGGTAGGTGGAAGGAGTGCGTCTCCTGTCTCCACCTCTCCGCAAGCGCAGTGACAAGCGCTCGATCGATCTCCCTATACGCCATACGGTGAAAACCACCTAAACCGACAAACTCGACGTACGCCAAAACGCGAGGATCGATTCCCCACCCCACCATGAACCTGGTGGTGTAATGCCTGCAAACGAGCTGCTTTGCCGGATCAACCTGTTAGAAAGAAATTAAGATCATATACCATATAAACTCAACAAGCTGTAGTCCATGAACAAACAAATGCAATATTACCGTCTGATCCCATACGGCAACGCTGCGGTGTGTGCCCTGTAGTGTAAGCACAGAAGGGTCAACGGGTCCAGGCGTACGATCTTCACCGTCCATCGTATCTGTTCACATGCAATTTAACAAATCCCAACAGAGTTAACGCATTAGCAATTAACCAAAATGTTAACGATCAAATGTTCCAAATGTTATCAAATCATTCATAGTCATGTTCGGTTCTAGTGTTAGGATTATCGAAATCTAGAGCGAGGTAAATTATCAACACTGAAATAAGACTCTTCTCACCTATAACAACTTCACTTTCAACAACTTCACCAATTTCAACAATTTCATGAACAATTTGAATTATTTCAACAATTTCAACCTAAACTATTTCAATAATTTCAACAATTTCATCTCTTCTCACCAATTTCAACCATTAACAACTTCAACATTTTCACCATCATCAACTTCACCAATGTCATGAACAATTTCAATAACAATGTACCACATCACCATCAATAATTATCAACAATGTACCACATTTTCATTAATAATTAGCAACAATTACAGGCAATTGACATGAATTAACAACAAGTAAGAGCAATTACATACAATTCACAATAATTAACCACAATAACTATGCAATTACACTAAATTCAGTTTAGGGCTAACCACGAAATTGAGTGAGTGAGTGTGAGAGGGAGGAGGGCAGCAGCAAGGTGGCGGCAGCAGCGGTGGCGCAAGGGTGGGCGGCGGCGGCAATGCGGGTGTTTGAGTACGGTCGTGGTTTAGTGTGAGAGGGAGGAGGGAAAGCGTTGAGGTTGAGTTCTTGCGCATTCTGCTGAAGTGAACATATATGGCCATGAAACGCTGTCCCGGACAGCGTTTCATTTAAAAAAAAAACAGGGAATAAAACGCTGTCTCGGACAGCGTTTTACCCATTGAATTTTTTTTTAAAAAAACCCAAGGATAAAACGCTGTCCGAGACAGCGTTTTATGCCCTACTGAATTTAAAAAAAAAACAGAAGGTAAAACGCTGTCCGAGACAGCGATTTACCCTGGAAGCTTAGTTTGGTAAATAGTTTTGCCACGCTACCATTTTTGTCAATAGTTTCCGTTTAAAGCTCAATTTGGTAAAACGTCCGGTACCCACAGTTAAGGGTATTGAATCACTTGAATGGGTGATTCAGTTTGTGTTGTTAATACCTAATCGCTTTATTTTCCTGCCCCATTTACTTAATGTTATACTGTTATAGCTTTATAGGCAATTGGTGTCCTTTTTAGCTCGTTAATATGTTTGCCAGAATTTTTTTTCGTCATCCTCCAATTCATTCTCCAGGTTCAAAGGAAAGTGGAATACATAAATAGAATGGTGTGTTCCTCGTCGCATGCTAGAAGGCAAATAGTAGATTATTCAAACCAGCTAGATCAAATATGGAAGTACTTTAATTTAATATATTCTCATTGTAATAGAAGAGCTAGTAAGGCTCGTAGTTTGTAAAACTTTTATATTTATTTAAACTGTTGTAAAAAAAAATTGGTCAAACAATTTTAGCCGAAAAGTAAAAATGGGTGTCAATTAACAAATTAGTAGTACTTTAAGGTTGTAATATGTCATTTATATCTGATAATAAAGACTTTAATTGGCAATGTGAATACTTTAAATGGCTACTTCTGACAATTTTCATTTTAATAAATCAAGCCCTACTTCTTTTTTTTTTTTTTTTTTTTAATTTATTTATGAATTTCCTTCTAATAAACAATTAAATCTGTGCATTGAGCAAATGAGATTTCTCTTTAGCAATAGAGGGAGTGTGTATAAATAATCAAGTCGAGCCAATTTCTCCAAAAAGATATTCATTTTATCGTGTAATGCCTATTGCGCTAAAATTTCTTTTTGCCATATTTTTCCAAACATAACAATTTGATATTGCTCACCATAAGCTGTAACTCTTGTAAGTTGTTTGGAGCCATAACAACTCCTAGTAGGTCAATAAAGTCTTGAGAATGGGTTTAGTTTAATTATATGGCGATTTTGAAATCCTATTCAAGAAATAAGTGCTCCAAGTGATGGTTTCAATCATCAACTTGGCTTCTCAATGTTGATTAAGGTGTTGGGAATCATTCATTAGATTACCAAACCCAAACCCAAACCCACTCTTACCATTGTTAGGGCTCTTCCTAATGCGTGTGCAGGGGTGGAGGGGGGAGGGACCTTGTTAGGATTCCCCACCAATGTTTTTTTAATATTTATTTTAAAGTTTGATATTTTTTTATGAAAAAAATAAAAAACAAAAAACAAACCTAACAAGATCTACGCAATTACTCATGGATGCGTATTGTGATTATTCTTATGCATTTTGTTTTACATTATATTGACCGTTTTTCCCTTTCAATTGCTAATCCCATGTAATCTATAATCATGCTACTCTCTCCGTATTTAAATTAGTAAAATGTCTCTTGTATACGTATACTAATGTAAAACTTTGACTGATATTATTTAATTATCAATAAGTAAAAATTATAATATTAATAAATTAGTCATTGAGAAGATTACAACAAATACCCATAAGACTATTTTATTCTTATGTATAGATCACAAACATTAGTCAAAGTGGATTAGGTGAATAGTGCAAAAAATCTATACATTTCACTTATTTAAATACGGAGGGAGTAGTTGATGTGAATCGAGTAACCCTTTATCACAACTATCTTTATTGTTTTATTTAGGTAATCTCTTGGTTTTACCTTACTCTTAAAGTAGGGGTTTTACAAGTGAGTTTTAATAATATTTTTATTATTTTCTTAGTAGTAATTATGGGGCCTTGGGCTTCCAAAATTGTGTTAATTAGTTAGGGGACTATTTTGGTTCATTAATTAATTATTAGGACTTTTATCTAGTTTGCTTGCGGAGCAAGTAGGATAGATTTATTTTTCCTATATATACTAGTTGTATGTCAATTATTTTAAGAGCATGTTTTGTAATATAATTTGAGATTATTGAGCTTTTACTTGAAGAGAACTTTGTTAAAGTCCAAACTAGTTGTTAACTAAGGTTTTGGGATCATTGCTCCTAAGATCAAACTTAGAACTCGTTGCTTTCTAAGACTATCCTTCAAATTTCCAACATTAAAATCACTCAAATCCTTCCATTAAATATAAACTGTCAAATATACGCATTAGTAGTAATGAGTGACTGAGTGAGATTCCACGATTATAACAGTATAAATTATAAACTGATAATGATAATAATGATGAATTTAAATTTCCCCCATATTGAAATGTTATTTGTCAATTTTGTGACCACTTTTGATTCCTTTTAATAGTGGTAAGGTTGTTCATATTTTTTCTCTATGACTGATATCAATGGTATTTCTTTCGTAATGGTAGTCTATGTTAATTGGCTATTCTATTTTTTAAAAATTTAATATGATTATATTGGATTATATTGTAGTTGATTAGTATTAGTTGGTAGTCCCCTACCAACGTTAAAATCCTGGCTACGCCACTGTACGTGTAGATCACACTTAACCGTAGTTTGTGATTTTGTGTGGTTTGCAATTTGAAAATTGCGGTGCAGTCTGCAAATGTGAGCAAATCATACATTGCGATTTATGCACGATTTCCAAAAAATTTAAACAGCACTGTGAACATCCCTATAAGGGAGAAGATGGGTGCAAAGAAGCAAACAATGAAAAATTATTTTCTAAAAAGATATTTCTTTTCCAAACAGAGTATAAGAGAATAACATATGTATTTTCATACTCAGGTTATGCTGTATGTTAGAACTTGTCGACGAACAATAACGTTTGCAACAGTCAAACATCCAACCAACAAAAGTAAAAAGTATTTCAACAATAATAGTAACTATATATGTATGGTGAATGCTCCAATTGGAACAAGGATGCATCTTTGGTAAGCAATGACTAACATTTTCATTAGCATAGAATTATCTACTTAGTACAATATACATTGATTAATAGTTAGTTTAGTGTTTTCCATGGGAGAAAAAAGAAAGAGAATTCATTACCTTTTTGTTTTCTTTTTCTCTCTCTCTCTCTCTTTTTTTTTTTTTTTTTTTTTTTTTTTTTTTTTTTTTTTCCCTGATCCTTCTACAACTCCACTGAACAACTTTACAAGCTATGAGCATTTCCCCTCGGCCTCAACTAGCCAAGAGAAGAAATTAAAGGCTTCTTTCTACCCGATAACAACTAACAAGAGGAGCCAAACAAAAGCCAAGTAGTTAACTGTAAAAAAAATAAAAATAAAAAATAAATAAGGGGTGGGGTGGGTGGTGAAATTTGCTTTAGCCTTTTTTATGTACTCTCACTCCCGTCAACAATATGGCCAAAGTAAAATCAGCAAGTTAAGGTGGCTTACTTCAACTCAAAAGAAACACCTCCTCCGCTGCAAACACAAACAAACGAACAAATGGCTGACTCAACATGATTCTAATACAGATACTTATTTCAAAGATAACAGCAGTAAATGGGTTGCTTAACAATACTAGAAAAGAGGATGAAAACATTATTAAGAAAAGATGTTGATCTCAGCAAAAAAAAGAATCGGAAAAATGACCTAAGGAGACATTTTTTAGAACTATTCTCTATCATAATGGACATCGTGATCTGAAAATACTTCTTTGAGATGAAAAACTATCTCTAGGACTAGGAATATGCATATCAGTCCATATATACCTAGTTAGAGAGTATAAAAAATAATAAGACAATCATCATCCAGAAAATTCTCATGTTATCTAAGGAACAATAAAGAAAAAGTGTAGACTTTGCAGCTAACTTATCTAAATAACCATAAAATTGCAGCGTGTAGAGTTAAACAATAGAATCTCTACTTTGGTTTGTAAATAGCTTTCATGATATATATCTCTTAAAAAACCTTTAGGATCCATTTGGTTTGATGTAAAACATTTTCAATGAAAAATTACTTTTCATGGAAAACATATTTTCAAGGAAAAACACAATTGCAAATTAGTTTTTCTTTGTTTGGTTGCATACAAAAAAAGTTAAAAGAAAAATCAAAAATAGGAGTGGGAATGTGAGGATGGATGAGAGGAAAGTAAAAAGGAGGTAAGGAGGAGGGATGAAAATGTGGCTTTCCTTGTTTTGTAAAGGAAAATGTTTTTTAATCATTGATGATGCAATTTTCCATTTTTCACCATTGGGAAAATTGTTTTCCACCCTTCGCAAACCAAACAAAGAAAAATGGGAAAATCATTTTCCATGAAAATAATTTACATCAAACCAAATGGAACCTTACTGTAAAGATAGCATCAAGGAAAAAGCTTGATCCAGATGTTCCCCCTGATAGCAAGCCACGACTAGGATTGAAGAATTAAGTTTCTCAGGATGGGCGATTTGCGATATCATATTGTAAAACAAGTGCTTGCACTGTTGCACAAAAGTTCATTCAATAAGTATGACTGAGATAGTAGGCCATGTTCTTGAAGGTCTAATATCTTCAATTATCCAGCATTCTAGCCAGATATACAAAACCAAGAACACATCATCACCTGGGTTCTATTAGGGGGACCTTCTACCGGGGCCATTTGGGGCCAGGCCCCCAGTATATTATTGTAATTAATTAGTTAATGAACTTAAATAACCTTATTTTACTTATAAAATATTAGAACATAGTGATTAGTTTTGAGCGAGGGGTAAAATATTTAAATCCCGGCCCCTCTAATATTTTTGGCCAAGATCCGCCACTGAACAGTATTAGCATCGCACGTTTTAGAGACTGATTATCCAGAGGCAAGTAGCAAAAAACAGCTACTGAGTTGGGAAGAAAAGGTAGTGATTAAACTAAGACACACAGCAACTTTTTATAGCTTACAAAGCAGGGAGTAAAAGTTGATAAAAGATATAATTAATAAATAAATAAAAACATTATTAACTCACATGGCATTTGGACAGCTGTAGATTTTCCAAGAATGCAGCTATCTCAACTTGCTTCATCACTGTAGCATGCAGCACCTATAGTGAAAAAAAAAAAAATCCTTAATAAAATTGGTATTTCAGTTTCATCAATATATCAATTCTTCAGAAGAATTTCAATTAAAAAAAGCATTTTTCTTACTCTCTTTGTTGTTTCAAGGTCACATTCAACACTCTTGATCCTATCCAAAGATTCCTGAAGCAATTGTTCCTTTTCTGGAGGGATAGCCGCCGGTCTTTCACTAAGCTCTTCACAACGTTTCTCTACTATGCGAAGACGTTCTAGACAAGGAAGCACACAGTTTTTTCCATTCTCGTTCTTAATTAGTTGTGTGTGGTTCTCCACTCCATGGTCAGATAAGCTAGATAAATGAATTGAGTTTCTCCTAGGCCAAAACCTAAAAAGCACTAGACAGAGATATGCGACAATTCTTACAAGTAGAGACTTAAGAGAGCTTGTGAGGGATCGTATGTTCATGTTATTAACTATAATCTCAAACTTGAAGAGCCTATATATAGAGGAAGTACCTGCAGCATGTGAGAATTTGTCAAGTACACATTTTCAGCATACTCCAAATTGACAAGAAAAGATAAATAAGATGCCAGCCAGTAAATATACAGCAACTCAGTACAAATCCAATAGAGACAGGATCAGCCAATACGTTAACATCAGCATCGTATATCTTACAGGAAAAAATTTCAAGATCAATACCTTCAGAATCAAGTATTCTTGTAACAGGACCATCTGTACAAGAAGATGAGGTATGCGGCTTTCTCACCCTATCACCTCTGACCGCATTATCAGTTGCAGAAAAATGGGCATTGCGACTATAGTACTCATTAGCTTCGGCAATTTTAGTCTGCATACAGCAAAGTTCAAGGTAAAAAAAATTACAAGAATTGTGGCATGAGCACTACTCAATCATGCAATGATATGCTAAAATGGCCTATGTTACAAGGGCTCTCCATTTTACATCAAGTACCCATGTCATATCATCGACACTCAGACATGGGTAGTACACTCGACCCTTCATTTTGGACATCATATAAGTTTTCATAAAATAGCCGAGTTGGACACTAGGCCACGCAACCATGTCGAACACAGAAAATGGCCAATTGTAGATCTGCTATATGCATATACATGTTTACACATTAATCATGCATTGGGAATAGTTTTAGAGGTTCTTAAGATAAGAGAACACACTTCTTCATGAACAGGAGCCAAAAAGGAAAATGATGAGCTCCTTCTTTCAGTAGGAGAACTGGAATCATCAATATCTGAAGCTGATTCTACTGCTGATTTACCGCAGTTTTTCCCCTGCAACCAAGAAAAAGAAAATCACCTTTAGAGCTCTGTTAAAGCATAAAAAAAATATTATGCAGCACAATTGCCACAAAGCCCACAATAATAACATTGGACATACCTTTAATGGTAGTACTTGTACATAATATTCAAATTTCTGGTCATGTGATACTTTTGTCATTTGCTTCACAAGGGATGCTTCTGCATTATGTACAAGCTGAAAAGGAGAGAAAATTAAATCGCATGCTATATAATTTTAACAAATCTCTGTTCATAACAACAAGAATAGAGCTCAAATATGTTTAGAGAAAGTCACATACTTTCATAATTTCTGGATCATTCCAGGGGCCTTTGTTAGACCTAAGGCACCCACCATAAACAGAACATGTACATGAGCCGCCCAAAAAGTCAGGTAGTTGGCTGGAAGAAGAGGAGGGATGGAGGGAGAAAGAGGGATGGAGAGGGTGAGAAGCTAAGAAAAACTAATAGATGTTCCTTCAAACATAAACAACAATGTAAAAAGCTCCCTGAACCTTGAATCTATAGCTTCCAGTAGCTTAGGGAGTGACTTTGGTTCCAAAACCTGTATTAAATAAGAAAATTGATCACATTTATGTCACCCAAAATTATTACTCTATGAACTTAATGATATGTCAAGTTTAAGTTTATCGTAAGTCTTGCTTACTTTGACCAAAATTGTTTTCAAAAAAAAATATTTTCCTATAAAATGACTCGGAAGACTTTGTGCATCATTAAACAACAGACGTTTCTTGAGGGTCAAAGTTAACAAAGCTTTAAACCCAAATATATGACCCATTATGATGATGGAGGGACTCGAGGGAGTAATAATAAAAATAAAAAGCAAACAAAAACTTGAAACTTACCTGAATCTTTACTATTGTTTTTGTATCAAGAAATTTCTGTGCAGCAGGCCACACCATCTTCTTGAATCCTGGACCAGCATTAACAATGTACATTCGATGTAGTGTCTGTATATTTGCATACAGAAAAAATCTTAAGAAACAAGAACCAGAAGAAGTGAGTATGCATTGAAAAAGAAGAAAGACATACCTCTGGGTAGTAACTGCTGTCTATCCTGGACATTGCAACAAGAAGGTTTGCAGTAGTCCTAGTAAAATTCTTCATCCCCTAGATCAAGATACAAACTATTGTAAGCTAATAAGATTCATGTGAATGCCCCCTTGTTATTCTGACTAAAACTATTGGGTGTTGCAATTGCAACCAGATATCTAAACCTTGCAGAATAAGTAATGTAATAATATGACACATACCAATCCTTGTACATCCAGGATTGTTGTGGTTGAGCAGATCCTTCTCTTTGCTGCAATGGAACAGGCAGGGAACTTTTCCTGTATGGCCCTCTCAAATTCCTGGACATGGTATTTTAAGTAGCGATCGATAGTGGTGATGCGCATGAGCTTAGTGGGGTTGGCTTTTCCTAGTCTCTCGATGTAAACTGGCCTGCCTTCCATGTCAAGTCCATGGTAACCCTGAGGGTAATACTGAATGACTTGTTGAAGCTCTTGAAAATGAAAATCCTACATCAAAGAGTGAGGCATAGAAGTTGGGTAGGTGAGTGAATGTAGAGAGATGATCAACAGGAATGTAGAAATTGATACCTCTAAAATGGTGTCTGTTCCAAATTGTTTTCTCCAGCAAAGCATTCCCTCCCACATGAGTATTGTGTTGTGAATGTCAAAGTCTCTAGCCTTCAAGAACCTAAGCAAAGTATGGTAGTGATCAAGGGTTGCAGGCAATAATTTGCGGTGAATTAGGGTTTGACGCAATGTGAAGACAGCAGATTCCTGTTTGGGATCCCGTATGTCCTCGATGGAAAAGGAGGAAGGTAGCCTTAGATTGATATTCCTTTTCCCTCGTTTATCTCTATGAATATGATTCTGATTCTGATTCTGATTCTGATTCGAGGGTCCTGTGTCTGTATCATCCTCCAGCCCTTGGAAATAAAATCAACATTCATTAAATTAAAATGCACATCTCATAAATTCAAATCCACATTCCACGAAGATGAAATGGGATACCTGACATGGGTTGCTTTGATCCGATTCAATGAACTCCAATTACCTGAACATTTGATAATTCAAACAGATGGTAATGCATCACACATTGCATTCAAATTTCAACCTTAACCACTGGCATTTGTATACTATAATATAATACAGGAAATCGAAATTAATTAGCATAAATATACATACCTTATCGGAACCCTAGCTAGCTAGAAAACGAAGAAATGCAGCTAAAATCTCTCTCCAGAATCCACTTGGGTTTTAGACTTTTGCTGTCTGTCATCTCCCCTTTCCCCCTTTTCCTGTTTCATTACGTGTCTTACAGTACCCTTTTTCCTTTTTTTTCTCTCATTATTTTATTTTAATTATAAAGGAAATCTCAAAGATACGTACGAGTATCACTTTCAGGCTTCACCTGCATTGCTACCGACGCGACAGTTGCCTTCATGCCCGCCACTTTACCAACACTTACCCGGACTTGATTATTTAATACTCCCTCTGTTTTTAAATGCTTGCTTCACTTTTTATTTTCGATCGTTTATAAATACTTCATTTCCTTATTTGGTAAGCTTTTACAATATTTAATTCATTCTTTAGTGGACCCAACAAAATCATATTTTATTAATTTCATATTCTCTTTCCTCCAATTCTCTCAACTACTTTTGCTTTTTACAATTTTTTATTTTTCCACTTACCCCACTACCTTCATATTTTATTACTTTCTCCAATTTCTCTTAAAACTCCACGCATGAAGAAATGGAGCAAGTATTTAAAAACGGAGGGGGTACATCTAAACATACGAAGTACTTGTTACCTTAACACGTTATGGAAAGGGGTGTCCATTATTCGAATAAAAACCGAAATCCAATCCAATCCAAACCAAATTATCAATTCGAATCGGATCGGATCGGGTTGAAATTTTTTGAAAATTCGGATTTTCGGATCGGATTGGATTGACCTTGTTTGAATCCAAAAAACCAAATTAACCGAAATATGAAACCATACTTTTACAAATAATGATTATTTATATTAATCATGTAAAATTATGTTGATGATTACATTAATATAAATTATGTAAAACTTTATAGTTGCATTTTTATTTTTATAATCACTTTAGGCCCTAAAAATTTGCAATGTAGTTTAATTCGGATTTTCGAATCGGATCCAAATAACCGAATTGTAATTCGGATTGGATTGATGAGAAATTTGAATCGGATTGGATTTGAAAATTAAAAACCGAATAGACACCCCTAGTTATGCAGATGGTAGGAGATACATCTTGTGATTTATTTCGTACTCCGTGTTCCATATCTATTTGTGCATGGAAAGAAGGATTTCTCTACCTTTCGACTTACTCTAAAAGGTTAAAATACATTTTTGGGTTAGTTGAGTTATGAAATCTACTAGTTAATAATGTCCTTCTCGTAAATATCTTTATGAATTACTATTACTCGTATTGAACAAGAATTACAATATATACATAATCATATAGAAAGTTCATATGATTATACGAGTACAGAGATCTTGGTTGGGAGTGATTTCATACTTATTACAAGTGCTTCAATTTTATCAATATGACGAGGACATTGTGATCCATTGTGATTTGTGTGTGGCATACTAGCAAACTTCTATCATACTTCATTACTTGATCCTCAATAATAATATGGCTTAAATTTATTCCAAAAAAGAAAAGAAAAAAGAAAAGATTGAGAAACAGACAACAGGTGGTGGGTGTGGCACAAACCCCTGCTTAAATGATCAAACAAGTTTAATGAGATGGGACTTGTTATTTCCATCAAAATTTAAACTGAAACCCCAACATAATCTTTTTTACTTCAATCTGTCCAAACCCCGTAACATTTTAACTTTAATTTAACTCTGACAAAACATTAATTTGTTAATTAATTAATTTTTTCATGACTAGAGAAACACCCCAAAAATTAATGTTTTTTCGCGAATAGCATTGCCATTGAAAAGTTCCGATCTTTTAGGAGTTATTGTGTGTTTCTGGAAATTCAATTATTCAACAAGAAGAAGAAGCAGAGTTTGATCCGTTGTTAATCAGGTAAACATTTAAAACAAGTGAATGAAGAGATGGATGTTTCTGAAACTGATGATCCGATGTTGATGTTTTATAATCAGGTGAATATGGGAGGTGCGCTGGGTGTAGTTGCAGAATCACCTAAATCGAGTCATTTTCCAGAAACCAAATTAGAAGCTAAAATGGTTGAAGCTATGCAAAAGAGAGCTTCTAAAGGAACTGCCATGAAATCCTTCAACACCATCATTCTCAAGTTTCCTAAAATCGATCAAAGCTTTAGAAAATGCAAGGCTATCTTTCAACAATTTGGTATTTTTTTTGCTTTTTTTTAAAAAATTTAATATCTTTGTTTTCATGTTTTTAATCATACCAATAGTGTTGGTTCCTAGATCTGACCCGGTTGCTTGTTGAATGTGATGGGGTCAATTCGGAATCGGAAGATGTGGATAATAACGATGTGATCGATCACAGTGAGCTAAAAGCTTGCTTCCGGAAATTAGAAGTTAGTTTCAGCGAGGAAGAGATTGATGATTTCTTCAAGGCATGTGATATAAATGAGGATATGGGCATCAAATTCAATGAATTTATCGTCCTTCTCTGTCTTGTCTACCTTCTTCAGGAGGATCCTTCTAAGACTCAACTTGTATCCTTCCTTACTTGATTCATATGTATACTGAAGTATGTGTTTCTATAAATGAATGAATGTTTAATTGATTGATTGATTGATTGATCATTTGATTCCGCCTTAACAATGTATCCCTTAGAAATCTCGTATGGGCTTGCCCAATCTGGAGGCCACATTTGAGACCCTTGTTGATACTTTTGCTTTTTTGGACAAAAATAAGGATGGCTATGTCAGCAAGACTGAGATGACTCAAGCTATTAATGAAACTACCTCCGGAGAACGTTCTTCAGGACGAATCGCCATGAAAAGATTTGGTCAGCATCCTCACCTCCTTTCTCTTTACTCTTGCTGTGCATCATTATTATATAATCAATTTTAGTATCTTCTACAAGTATGTAATGTAATACTCTCTTCTCCAAACATTTTGGAATGTCCCTTTATGTGTTTCTCATATGGAGTAGTGTTCTCCAATATACAGACATAATTCTTTATTACTAGACTTGGCTTATCTTACAGAATCATCATTATCTATGCACTCTTTCTTTTTCTCCTCTTCCCTTCCAGATGATCTGTTAGAATTGCAATTTGCTTAAGTGTGATACAGTTTCTTAATACTTCTTTACACCTGATTTGGGAACATGGACTCAATGCTTGACTGAATTTCATTAGGCATCCAGCAGTGGGGCATCAAGTGCCTCTAGCACCTTAGGTTGCCCGAACCGGGTCTCTAAAATCATCTCTACTAGAGCCGTACAGGTGATCAGCCTCTGCAAGGATTAAGTTTATCTTGGTTGGTGAGAGATGTTAAACAGGAGACTGTTTGTGGCATTGATGTTTATTGAATTAGTAGGGCTTCCGTCAACTCTTTGTGCTGTGCAACTGCTAGTAAAAGAGTCTTGCATGTTTAGATAGAAGCTTACTAGTAATTCCTAACGTGTGTTGCTGTGCTACTGCAGAAGAGATGGACTGGGATAGAAATGGAATGGTTAACTTCAAGGAATTTCTATTTGCTTTCACCCGTTGGGTTGGTATTGATGAAGCTGAAGATGAGGATGAAGTAGACGAGGATGAAGCAGAAGCTTAATTAATGCTTTCTTAGATCTTCCTTAGAATTTTCCATCATATGTACTACCTTCAACAGCAATTAGTTAAGCTGGTTAGGTGGATGGTATTTGCACCCAGACTCTTGTTTTGACAGAATGTTGGAAGTGTTTTTAATTTTTATTTTTAAACAGCACACGATTGTTGCTCACATTGTACATAGCCCACTTGTTTGTAACGGTATGGGTTAAATAAGTGTAGAGCATGTACTATCTGAATATATTTGGTTTTGAATTTCATGTTCTGTAACTTCTGCGAGCAGAAAGTATGGGATAAGTTTTCAAAAAAAAAAAAAAGTATGGGATAAATTACAAGTTGGAGAGCAGCATAGCCAAAGGAGCAGGAGGCAAAATCTCTACCTCTGTCCCTGTGTTTATAAAGCCATAAAGGTACTACGGAGTATTGGAAACAGCACTACTTATACTGAAGAATTTTCAATGCCTCCAAAACCTACCAAGTTAGATCTACCACCTTCACCGAACATCACATTACCATTCCATGTCACGCCTTCCAGCATTATCATTCCATGTCACGCCTTCCAGAATTCTCGCGTAATGATCCTAGGGCACTGGGAAGAATGCTTGTTTTAGTTTAATTATTATTTCAGTAAATATTGTTCCCATGTATGCTTCTGATTTATTCATTATCATTCCCATTTTAGACCTGGTTCCCTCGTCACAATTCACAACCCTAGCTTCAAAACGAGTTCAAAGACAAATATTAGGGCAAAAAAATTATACAACAGGTAAGATCCCAAATCTATGATCAAACTTTAAATTTTTTTCATAAATCAATCCATTCAAGTCTACAACTGCTACTAGACATTCAAACCCATCTATATGGGTAGTGCTTCTGCTCTCCACTGTAAGCACACCATATAATAATAGCTACCATTACCCTACCAAAACTTTCACAATATCATTTTAAAAAAGAAATACCTCCATAATACAAGACTGAAAGGCAGATTTCTAACTAGCCTAAAGAAGCATACAAACGCAAGCCATCTAAACTCAACTGGTCATTCCAGAATATAAGCTATTATGACCTCAACCACCCAGACTAGATGCTAAACATGCTTGATTTACCATTACATTAAAAATAGAACTGGCACACTAATTGCACCAGTGCCCCGATGGCAGTTGGGACTTCAGAAGCACTGTGGCAGGTACATCAGTACCAGTAGCATGGGAATGTCCAGTTTACCCTTCATAGCTATAATTCTCCAGAATCCCATCATAATTTATCACCCCCGAGTCTTGGCCCTCTTCATCCCTAGGCTGTTGTGAAACGGAGATACAGAACCAGACATGTGAGAACCATCTTCACGAAGTGTACCGTTTAGCATCGCTAACTCTCGCAGCTGCTGTTTTTTGAAGAAGTCTTGAGACTCATCCTGATTAAGAAAGATGAGATTGTTAGAATACCATTTAAGGTCCAAAAAATATAAGCATAATAAAACACAAGGTTATGCTAAGTTTCTGTAGCCCCTAGAATAACATACCACAGGCTTGAGCAGATCTTCAAGTATCTCACGTGCTTGCATCAGGCGGGCATCAATTATTTCTACAGGCAATTCTGCTTCTACAAGTATGTGGAGGGGTTCATTAAGATGTTCATACCCTGGTTTTCCCCGCATCATATCCTCCTTTGATAAAAAAAGATGATGCAAGAATTGTTGTGTTAGTATTTCTATACAAACTAAAATACAGATATATCAAGCAGTAATTTCTCAAAACAGTAATTGATCTCAAAACTCTTTTACTACACGCAATACTTTCAGAAATTTACAAGGATACACAAACAGACTAATTTCACCATCCACAAACTGCAAATTTGCGATAAATAATAATACCAATTATAAATTATGCAAAGAACCAGCCAAAATAAATTTCGTTCATTGAAAGCCACCGCCTTAAAGAGTTATTTTCAGACGCTCAGCACAGCTTGACTAATGCCAGTGAAATGACTTAAAATGCACAAAAAGGACCATGGGTTGTTTTTGGGAAAATGGATTTCATTTAATATGCTTGAATAGGAATGTTAGAAATTGAATCCTTCTTTCAATTTGAAATAGGTGTTTGGCAAAAACTAAGAATTCAAAATTCAATGTATTAATATCCATGACCTTAATGAATCTCAAACAATTATTTGCCTCTAGGTTACTAATGTCTTAATCTTCCTTTAATCCTTTCATTAATACTCCCCAAATCAAGATATCATCATATAATTAGCGTATTAGAACTTTGAAGTTTGAAGTGAGGAAGAATTCTCGAGATCTTGCAACCTAGATGCTTATGTCATTCGTAAGAAAGTAGCAAGAGAGTAGAGAAGTGCTTAGTGGTGATGGAGAGAGGTTCTGGGTTTGGTAGAGCTGTAGCGGAGGGAGAAAGGGATATGATGAACTGATAAAGTAAAACTTGGTGAGGGAGTGGTGGTCCAAGATATAAAGAGCATTTGAGGGTATGGGGAAATTTAAATTAGATTGTGTAAAATCAAATTTCAAACAGTGGGAGTGAATGATAAAGTAATCAAAATTACTATGTAACTACTACGGAGTAGATAAGTACTTCCATTATTAAAAAAAAATAAAAAAAAAAAACTTACACTCAACACTTTTTGAAACAACTTTAAACATATATATCATAATTATGACTTAGTAAGAATATACTTCATATAAAAATAATATAATGAAATGAAATAAATTATTTTTATGAACATCTTTTATTGATTTCATCCTACTTCAATACTATAGTAAAAAATATGTAAATGAATAGTACAAAAAGATAAGTGTTGCAATAGTTCACGATGGAAGTAATAAACAATAAGCTACAGTTAATAATTTGTACTAACCCATTTTCTTGGATCCTACTCTCTCTCTCTCTCTCTCCCTCCCTCTCCCTCCCTCTCCCTCTCTCCCTCTCTCTCTCCCCCTCTCTCTCTCACTCTCTCTCCCTCTCTCTCTCCCCCTCTCCCCCCCCCCCCTCTCTCTCTCTCTCTCTCTCTCTCTCTCTCTCTAAAAGCCATTCCTCATACATACATCCAACCAACAATAGATGAAGTGTACACACATCCAGACATACAATCTCAATGCAACCAAAATCAAATTCCAGCAGCATTATCATCAGTACAAGAATATCAAGGCTATTTGTGATACTAACCTAATATCATACAAATCAAGACGTAGTAAAGACGCAAGTTCACAACATTCCAGCTCCTCTCAACATTTATACTTAGTATACCTCATGACCTGACCACCTTCCAATAAGCTTTTGACTCCTTCGTCAACCCACCAACCAACAACAATTGGCTTTCTTTTTAGGCAGAAACAAATATTATGACTCACAAGATTTAATTATCCAATTTTGCATGACCTCTTTCTGTAGCTATAGTGTGGCTAGAGTCAGTTCACCTGGTGATCCGGTGTGATTTGATTTCTAAATTTGAACTGAACATACCCTATGTTACATATCACTAAGGGATGCAGTAATTTGACAGAAGATGTAGTTTAAGCATAATGCTTATCGAAAAGGACCATGTCTTAGAATTGCTAAGCAATACTTGCCAAGTTGCAATCATGTTTGTTATTCCCTACGTCCCAAATTACAGTTCCTGTTTTCCTTTTCGGGTGTCCCAAAATGTTGTTCTTTGTTTGATTTTTTTTCCTTTTTAAGGTGCTATGAAAATACTAAAATACCCTCACTTTTTTCAATTTCAATACACTTTAATCCTTTTTTTCCCCAAGTTTTGTTCCCATATTGATTTTTTTTTTTTTTTTGGATTTTCCATGCATCCTTTTATTCCCATCAATTTCTGACTTCATTAAGTTGGGAACTCCTTTTTCATTTTCTGACTTTATTTTTTTTTTTCATTTTCTATCTCCTCCTGTAATCTCCCATTTTCGCCAAGTACCCTAACGTTGCCTCCGTTCTCTAATCAGAATATCAGATCCTCGAATTTTAAAGAGTATTCTCACCTATAAATTGTAGATTGGTGTATAAAGCACTCACGCATATTTAAGCCCTCAAAAAATTTCTCAAAAAAAACACTTCAAAGCTAATTTGGGTGGTTGACGGGAGGCAGCAGATTTCTTGGGCTTGTATATGTATATTTGATCCTGCTATGTATATGTATGTATGAAGGAAGAAGAAAATGGAGTTGAAGTAAATTTTTTAAAAAATACTAATAATAATTGGGGAAATTCCAAAAGCTTTTTTTGATTTAGTTTGAGAGGATTTGATTTATTTAGGGGCTTTTAAATTAAGCAGAGGAAGGCGAGGGAAGTAGAGGTGGTTTTCGGTGGCCATGAGAGCCGTGTGGGTGTTGGTGGTGGTTCCAGGCGTTTGTGGTAGGTGGGGGCAGCGACAATAATCGTAAGAAAAAGGAAGGCTTTTGCCTAAATAAATAAACAGAAAATGCTACCAAAAAAATCAACAGAAAACTCCAAAAGGTGCATTAGTTGCACACTTGTTTTATTGTACTATTAGAAAAATTTCAAGTACATCGCACACTCCCTCTTCCCATTCCTTAATTCCAGTGAAATGCTACAAACGGAAACTATAATTTGGGACGGAGGGACTAATTAAGACAGTGCATATCATTCACATTTACATAGCATACAAAAAAAGAACAGTTACATGTGACAAATTTGGATAGTCCCAGGGGTGCAAAAATCTGCTAAGGGACATGAGCAAATTCTGGTTTCAGATCCGCCAAATCGCCAATCTAAATTGTGGTTCATCACAAATCCAAGCCAGATTGAAAGCAAATTTAGCAAATCTAACATTCGATGAATTATAGCATTACAATAGAAAATCTAACAATTGATGAAAAGAATCTCAGTTTTCCACTTCTCCCTAACAATACAATGGTACTTAAATAATGATTATGTAAACGTAGCAACCTCCATAATTGCAATTGTTCCATGTTACCAGAAAAAAATTTCCTATAAACATATCTTCCACCATAATTGCAATTGTTCCGTGTCCCCAGAAAATACTTTCCTATATGTGTCAAAAAAAAAAAAAAAGGAAAGAAAAAACTTTCCTATAAACATATCTTCCAAAAATGGGTTTGGGCACTTGTGCCAAAACATCTATTCAAGGCAATGAAGCAACATCTATTCTAGTGCTCAACATCCCAGTAAAACCATGTTACACGCACAATCAGCACAATTGTACAAACATTTTCCAATTAATTAACTTAAAACCTTATATATAATCATTCCACACAAATTAATAACTTTCTTGGAGACACAAAGTGCACAGG